TGTCTGACAGAGAGGAGATCTGCTCCTGAATCCTCTTCATCTCTATGCTGATAGTCTTCCTCTTCTGCTCCTCTTCCTCCCTCAGAGCTGCCAGTCTGGACTCCTCTTCCTCTTTCAGGAACTGGTGGAGCTTGTTGAACTCTGCTCTGATCTGTCTCTCTGTGGAAAACAGCTGCTCCTTGGAGTGTTGAAGCATATTATCATATGTTTTCTCCACTTCTTTGTATTTGTCCTTCTTTTCCTGCAGAGGCTTTAAGTCAGATTTCAGCTGCTCCTTCAGATCACTGACTGCTTGTTCTAGAGGAACCACTTTGTGACTCTGATGGAGAGAAAACTCGCAGACAGGACACACAGCTCTCTTCTCATTTTTACAGAACCAATAAGGAACATCCGCATGTTTCACACACACCACCTCCTCTTTCTTATATTTCTTTTCCGTTTCAGTTGAAGCTTCATTTTGCTTCTCAGCAAACAAATCAGCAAGTTCTCTGAGGGAGAAGTTAATGGATGGATCTTCCTTTGACGATCGCTTACAGATGGGACAGTTCCTGTTTTCAGTTTGTTCCCAGAATTCCTTCAGGCAGCTTGAACAGAAGCTGTGGTTGCAGCTCAGAGACACAGGATCTCTGAAAGTCTCTGAACACACATGGCAGCTCAGGAAAGTTTCCAAAATAGCTCTGTCTGCCATTAAAAAATCTTTTATTCTTCCAGGCAGCACCCTTCCTTCCAGTTCTCCTTTAGTGCGCTCCTCCTGTAGAGATGTGGGACTTTCCTTTAAGCTGTGTTCTTCTTTAGCAAACCAAGCTTTTCAGTTTCGTTTATTCTGTTCTGGGTGGAGCTCAATGTTATAAAATCTATTCTGCCAAATTGCCACTAGATGATGCAATTTCATCTTTTTTTTAATCAATTTGATAAAACAGCAACTCTTACAATAGGATATTTTATAAAATCTTTTGCATTTGCAGCACAGTGTGGCAGCTGTTGTTTTAGGGACCTATATATAAAGTTAATTTAAAGTTATAATGGTATTGTATAATTTAACATTTGGATATTTCACTCATCTTGAAGTTAATGGTCTCTTTTCAGTTTTCCATCAAAATCGAGGTATTTCTACTGTATTTATTTTTTTTTCCAGATTTTCTAAAACTTTCATAGCTCAGTAGTTTAAATGTGTATGATGGACATATACAAATATTAACTGTTGATAGTTGCTACACAGAATCCAGTTGAGTTTCCAGAATACCTCAAATGATTAAATTCAATTTGGTTTTATTTATAATGTGCCAATTCACAACACATTAGCTCAAGGTACTCTACAGAGACAACTCAGTCTGATCATAGTCTGACTGGTTATTTTTTATCTAAATAAACCCTGCTGACTGTATTGAGTCATTGACTTTGCAGGATCCTTTCCTCCTGGATGAACATGTGGCTGCAGTCAACAGCTTGAGTTGTTTGGTTGGCTCTTCAGCAATCCCTCAATCCAAGCATGCATGCAGCAAAAGTGGAGAGTAAAGACTCTCTTACCAGAAATAAACCTCCAGCAGAACTAGGCTCAGTGTGAAGAGCCATCTGTTGAGACTGAGTGGAGTTCAGTCAGAAAGAAACAAACATACAAGAATATAATAGAATACAACAGAATAGTATTCAACTTTATTGTCATTAAATTGTCACAAATGCAAAGCAACAAAATTCACACTCTGCATTAACCCATCCCTTTGGGAGCAGTGGGCTGCCATTGTGCATTGCCCATTCCAAAAGGAACAAAGACACACGGATTCATAAATTATTTCTGTCTAAGAAAAGTTAACATTAAATCAGCTCACTATGTCTCTATCTGGAAAAAAAAACAGCTACTGTAAGCAGGTGAGCTCTGAGTCAGCTTTTTACTTCTAAGTTGCAGCTTATTCACTATCTGAAAGCTGTACAAAATGAAATTTTGTTTTCTGTACACTCTGATTATACAAAATGACAATAAAAGTTGTGTAAGTCTAAGCTTTCACGTCAAAAAGGATAGAAGTGAACACATACAGCTAGTTACGGTAAAGGCTGAGCCTTTCAACATGTCTGGGAGAGAAACAGGACTAAGCATTGAAAAACGGGCCCAAATCTATTATCTGACAGCAGCAGCCCAGCTAATCCCTCCATCCAGGATGGGGTCACAGCTAAACAGCAACAGACCAGATAAAGCTACCGTGATTAGAAAAAGCAGAGAGAAAATACAATTAGAAGATGATCTAACAAATAACACAAACTTGAAAATTAGAGAAAGTAGAATGCAATAGAGTGAGGAAAGTCCTCACGTGGCTGTGGCTGGAAATACCTTCATTAGAGCATACAGGAGTCCGTCTGACAAAAAACTCCCACTGAAATTTTATACAGAAATCCTCTGTTTGCCTTTTGGTTTCAGACACCTTATCCAAGACGTATCCGGGTTTAATGGTAGTTCTGCAGCAGCTTCCTTCTTCAATCAAGGCAAAACTTCATTAAAATGGTCAACTATAGAGATGTAATTTGACGTATCAGGTCCACATTAAAAGGAAACAAGCCTTACTGGTTTATAAAAGCTTGAAGAAAAAACAATTTTTGGGAGAAGATTCTCCAGTACAAGCATTATTTATATTCAGTGCCACCTGGATGCTGCACTCAGCTGGTGGTTACATTTATTCATTTGTGTTAGTACTGCCCCGCATGTTACACATAAATATTGTGGGCAAAGTGCTTAAATATAGTCAGTAAAATAAACTTTTTAAATAGAAATCAAGAGAAAAAGACGTTACCTGTATTACCCCTTGTACAACTGAAACACACCATCAGTGGCACATGGGCTCTCAGTGCAACATGTGATGTGAATTAGTCAAAATAATGGAGCAGTAATCATTTGTTATACCAGTGATGTTAATTATGACCTTAAAAAGGGGGAATTGGGTCCAGTGTTAAAATTGGGGGCGGGGGGGCATGTACACTTATGCACAGAAATTCATTTTGATCCATTTAGAAATATTTTATTGACAAAAGACAATTAAGATCAAACCGAAGATTAAAGCGCAGCACAACATAGATCTGCAGAAGCTACAACAGGAAGTGATGGAATGATGATTAGTGCAACATGTGACTATGGCTTCATAACGAGCCAGTGTTGGATAATGCCTATAAATGCTAAACAAAGAGAAAATCCAATGAGATAATTAAAATTACCTGAATAGAGAGATTGTTCGTTAAATAAGAATATCCAGTCAGCTGACATGACTACAAAATAAAGTTATTACATGATGATGACATTTATCAATATCAGTCAATAATATTCAGAATTATCCAACTCTTTTGCTATTTGATCTCAGATTTCAGTTATTCTGAATGTTTCCACAGTCTTTATTCCACCAGTTTCATTATGAACTTTAAACTTTGCTGGACTTCCTAGTTGGATTGAAACCCACCAAATTTATATTTTCATATCAACCAAAAATATAATTTGTTTTCAAATTAACATTTTTTTCATTTCGTCATACACCGAAAAGGGTTTCTTTTCAAGCAAGCAACAGAAATAGCAGAAAACCATTTTTATAGACATATAAATCATTTGGAGGCAAACATTTCCCAGCAGATATACTGCAGTAACAATTTATTTATGTTTTCCTATCCAAATAAAACTTTATATATTAAAAAATGGAACAATGGAGGAAATAAAGTCTGTTCAGGTAGACGTAATGATTCAAACTCTTTACGATTAAACACGATTTACTTCTTGTTATGATTAAGCAATTAAACAGTAATAATTTGGTGTTGGTTGCAGTAATGTTTGGTTTATACTCCATAGGCCATCTACTTTTACTGTAAAGTTTGCCCATCTTATTTGGTCATAATTTCCATTATTCTTGTGTTAAAAATATTTACAAGATTGTTTTTTTTCACAATCATAATCATACTCATACTCATTTTCAACGTTTCCATGGGGATGTTGTCCATCCCCATGGAAACGTTGCTGTTGACAAAATCAACCTCAACTATCAGCAGCAAGAGGCTTTCTTTGAAATGTTCCATATTTCTGCTCAGAGACAGTCGGACCAAATGGAGTACAGTGACCTGCTGCCAGGTTATTAGTCCTTCTTAATAGAGACTAAATGAATATAATATCATAAGAAACAAACAGGATCAATTAATGATTTTTGATCTTCTCTGTCCTTTATAACTTATATCAGATTGATCTAATCAGCATCTAAGCGACATTTATTTTGACCTCAGATGTTTTGGCATCACCAGCTGCTCCTATACTAAAATACGGGAAGAGCTTTTCAGTGAAAGTGTCTCTGTAAGTGTAGATGAGGCTCATGTCTTCAGGGTCATAGAAGGACACCTCCCCTCTGTCATAGCCCAGGGTCAGTCTGATTCTCTGGAGACTTTGCTTCACTGAGAGAGGCTGACCATCACCGTTAGCATATTCTCCATCATCATGCCATAAACACCAAACCCCGTATTCTGATGAAGCACATTTATATTTTTTTCTGTTAACAGATTCTTTAACCAAACCTACCAGCCAAACAGGATGGTCTCCCACCTCCACCTCCCAGCTGTGCTGTCCAGAGCTGAAGCCATCAGAACCAAAGACCTCAATATATTTGGTGTTTCTCTCTGGATTATCAGGAACCTCCTGCTTTGTGTCTCGATGTTTCACACTGGTCAGATCATCAGACAGATGGAGCCATCCATTAGCAGTGTTTGGGTCCAGAATGACTGGATAGAACTGGACCTTCTCCTTCATCTTCTCCCAGACTCTGAAGGACAGGTTGCCCAGATGTTTGGCCACATCTATCAGAGCTCCTGAGAGCAGCTGTGGATCTGACAGTGAGCTCTGTGCTCTGGCTCTGCTCTGAGTGGCTTTATAGCTGCTGTGGAACGACAGGTTGTTTTTCTGCAGGTCTTCTTCAACAGCAGAGATACTGTCTGACAGAGAGGAGATCTGCTCCTGAATCCTCTTCATCTCTATGCTGATAGTCTTCCTCTTCTGCTCCTCTTCCTCCCTCAGAGCTGCCAGTCTAGACTCCTCTTCCTCTTTCAGGAACTGGTGGAGCTTTTTGAACTCTGCTCTGATCTGTGTCTCTGTGGACAACAGCTGCTCCTTGGAGTGTTGAAGCATATTATCATATGTTTTCTCTACTTGTTTGTATTTGTTGTTCTTTTCCTGTAGAGGCTTTAAGTCAGATTTCAGCTTCTCCTTCAGTTCACTGACTGCTTGTTCTAGAGGAACCACTTTGTGACTCTGATGGAGAGAAAACTCGCAGACAGGACAAACTGCTCTCTGATCGTCTTTACAGAAGGATTTAGGGTCTTCTTGGTGTTCACTGCAGACCACTATCAACTGATTTTCTCCTTTCTCCGTCTCTGATGGTCCAGATACCTGCCTTCCAGTAAAAGAATCAGCCAGGTTCTTCAGAATCATATTCACTGGTGGAAATTCATTGGAAGATTTTCTTTCACAGGTGGGACAGTTCCTGTTTTCAGTTTGTCCCCAGAATTCCTTCAGGCAGCTTGAACAGAAGCTGTGGTTGCAGCTCAGAGACACTGGATCTCTGAAAGTCTCTGAACACACACGGCAGCTCAGGAAAGTTTCCAAAATAGCTATTTTGTCCATTTTTATAGTATTATTATATTATAATAATTTATTTTTATTTATTATAATAATAAAAGGTTTCAATCTGCCTGATTTTTACATTTATGCTGGTGTTCTATCAGTTGATGAAAACAGAGAAATGTTGAAGTCTTTCTTTCTGGATGGTCAGAAAGATGCTGCTTCATGAGGGGCTGGTTGGATGTCTCCAGAGATGGTCTCCGTGGCGATAATTTTCCTCAGCTGCTCATCCGTCTGTGTCAACAAGTGGTATTTTATTGCTGGCCAGTAGCTCTGTCTGTGAGCTTATTCAGTCTTTATCTTCTAAAAAACACAAACATACTTAATGTTTTAAAGACCTATCTGATATACTACTAGAAATAAAGGTTTAACCTTCAACAGGGTTTTTGGTCAAGGATTAAATTAACATTGACGTTTATACATGTGAAGCAAGTTAATTCATTTTAACCTTTCCCTGAAAGATCTCCTTTTCATGAAGTCAGGCATTAATCAGACATAAGAACATAAACAAGATTTTTCTCACAAAAGATGAAGGTATGTTTTTTCAAAAGGTCTATTTTATCGATGTTTTACAAATGTCAAATACTGACACAAACCCTCACAGGGTGATGATTCTTATAAGGCTTCACAAAAAGTTTACTCTGGAGTCAGATTTACAGTAAGAGAAAGTCCAATTCAAGGAGATTAACAAGCAATTTCATGATGGTCAAATACCTAACAGACATTATTTGTAAAATAAAAACCAGTTACCAGACATGACATAACTACATTATCCCAAACTGATATTTACCAATATTAGTAATTAACAGTTACACTCACAATATTCTTTCCCCTTGATTTTCTGGACTGCAGTCCTTCTAAACGTGTTCACTCGTTATCCTGCAGCTCGGCTCTTTTGTCAGATTCAGAATGAACTTTACACTAAACAGAATTTCCTTGTTAGATTATAACCAATGAAAAGGTATTTTCTTATCAACAAACAGCACCGTTTGATTAACCATTAACTCAAACACGTCATTCATCCCCTATCATCCATGAGCAAGACTATTTTGGAGAAAGCAATAAATATAGCATTAACATGAAAACAATTCATGGTAAATAAACAGTAGGTACTGTAGGTATTTATCTTTCCTATTCTAATAAGTAATAATGTACTTTCTCCCTTTTCATTCGTTTCCAGTATTAGTTTCACCTTAATATATACCTGTCATTGTTAGTATAAAATATTTGCCATAACTCAACATTAACTGTCTCTGTTGGGCCCTAAAAGGTGGTGCAGTGGTTAGTGCTGATACGCAGCATAAAGAAAGTCCCCTGAATCAAGTCTTCCAGCTTAAAATTGTGTTTCTTTAGGGTTTTAAAGTTTCTCCCCATAATAATACAAATCAGTCAACTGTTGTCTCCAAACTGTCCGATGCTCTGAGTTTGTCTATGCGTAATGTATGGATGTTATTGGTAAGATCATCCGAGTGAGGAAGAATCTCCAGCGGATCATTGTCCAGCTCGACTGCGATTATGCCACAATGCAAGGAGACCAATCCTGCCATAGGGAAGTCAGCTAATGGGGGTGCAAGGGGAAGCTCTTCCTCAAGCAACCACAGAGCTGAGAGCAAATGTGATGTGAGGTTTAATAGTCTAGCGTGCCATTCTACCTAGCAGGTAGACTATCTAAGATAACAGACAGAACAGGTTCCTAGCCTAACTCAGAGCTGTCTGTATGACTCACCTTTACCACAAAGACGACAGGACAGTCGCCCATGGGACACATGTGAACCCCACCGCGCTGAGCCATTATCCCGGCCAAGAGGTTATGGAACACTGGGTCTACCATTGCTCCATGAACAGTTTCTGATGAATTGTAGGAGTTCAGGCAATTTTGTCATTCCACAACAACAGTAGACAAGAGGTTTCTGACGATCATTTTGATGATCGTCAGAGACCTTGCCGAGTTCCATCAGTGTTGCCGTGTCCAAAAACATGACTCTGAATCTCTCGCCCAAGATATTAAGCATTTTGATCTCAGTAACATGGAATCAACCAGTGATGTCTACCTCGCAGAGGTAAAGCTTTGTCTCCTAAGACCACTTCAAGAAGTGTATTGTGTTTATGGACAGCCTCCCTACATCAGAGAACGCCATTGTTCTTTTTGCCAGGCCTCAAGAAAGGAATATTCAGTGTTCCCTTTTAACAAGTAAAACATTGAAAAATTGGGTGTGTGCAAAATGATTCAGCCCCATTGATTAAATATTTTTCTGCACTCACAGCTGCAAGTCTCCGTCCCAGTCTCAGGTCTTTTGCAGACTTTTTAAGGCTTCAATAAACGCCAGATTTGTGCAGTATACGACTGATTGTTCTCCTATGGACAGAGTCTCCTACCTCAGCTCTAGATCTCTGCAGTTCATCTAGAGTGATCATGGGCGCATGGCTGCATCTCTGATAGTCTTTTCCTTATTTAACTGAAAGTTTAGAGGGACAGCTGAGTCTTTGTAGTTTTGCAGTGGTCTGATGCTTCTTCCAATTCAATATTATTGCTTGCCCATTGCTCCTTGGTTGGTTTAAAGCTTGGGAAATATTTTTGTAACCAAATCTGGCTTTAAACTTCTCCACAACAGTATCTCGGACTTGCCTGGTGTGTTCCTTGTTTTTCATGATGCTCTTTTTGCTTTAAGCAGACCTCTGAGAAAATCACAGAGCAGCAATAATTTATACTTAGACTTTATTACACACAGCTGGATTCTATTTATCATTATCAGTCATTTAGGTCAAAATTGGATTATTCAGAGATCCTCACTGAACTTCAGTTTGATGCACTGAAATTAAATGTGCTGATAAATTTTGCATGCCTCACTCTTCAGTAATTTATTTGTTAAGAAATTGTTAAATATCAGATAAATTTTGTTGTACTTCATGATGCATGTTCTCCCTGAGCATGCATGGTTCTCTCCGGGTACTCCAGCTTCCTCTCACAGTCCAAAAACCTGACTTGTAGGTTTATTGGCTTCTCTAAATTCTCCTTAGGTATGAGTGTGTGTGTGAATGGTTGTTTGCCCTGTTTGCCTCTGTTTTACCCTGCAATGGTCTGGCGACCTGTCCAGTGTGTACCCCGCATTTCGCCCGTAGACAGCTGGAGAGAAGCACCAGCACCCCTCACGACCCTGCTTCGGATAAGCGTGATGGAAAATGGATGGATGAATGTTTGAAGCCTGAAATGAGGCAAAAGATCAAAAGGTTAGAGGGGGCTGAATACTGTTGCAAGGCACTGTATGTTTACAACCCAGTTAAACATGCGCTAAGTCCTAGTTAAAAGCCATGCTTATAGTTTTATCATTAGACCTGTTGGCTCTGCCTGGTTTCTCTTCAATTCTCATTTAATCCACCTGCTCCTGCTTTTATTTAAACTACTTGGTCTCAACCATCAGTGCCAGATTATTCTTGAGCCTTTGGTGTAGAGAGTTTTTAAGCATTACTAATAATATTCTGTTTTCCTAATCCTGACCTGTTTCTGGATTCAGACCTTTGAGCCTGCCTGTCCTTGTCTGATCTGTTAACCTGAGCTGTCTTCGGACACCTGTTTGATTCTTCTGTGGACTGAACCTGGATCTGCCTCCTGACTTCGCCCTGTGGATTGTCCTGCCTCCCTTAGTCTGCTTGGATCAGATCTCCTGTCAGTCCTGCTGCCTTCTGGAACTCTCTGGCAGCGCCTGCTGTGTCTTGTCAGCCAACAGGCTGGAATCATCCTCTTTCTCTGGGCATGGACTGAATTGTCAAACCAGTTTAGTTTGACAATTCAGTGTTCATAGTCATCCTCTGCCAGATTATTGGGGTCACTAACCTGTTTTTTCTCTCCTATAGATGTTTCTGTATAAGCCGCCCAAGCAACCAATTCTGCATACCGGCTTGATTAGATAAATGCTTTTAAGTTATTCCACTTTTGTCTTGCCTGAATTCTGGGTCCTACTTTCTGAGCCTTGATACAAATCGGATTTGACCTGATTTGGTATCAGACAGTGTGTGGGGGTGCATGGTATGTCTCTGCCCTGTGGTGGGCTGGTGACATGAGGTGCCCAGCTCTGACAGTGTAGAGAAACAGAAACTCCTCAAAATGAGTTTAAGTGTCAAAATCAGTAAGATGGTCCTTAATCCTACAACTGCCTACATTTCATTATCTCTAGATCAGACCAGTTGAATGCAGTAGATTAAATTAGAAAAGTAAAGACTGATTTTCAACAGTAAAATTAATACATAAAGGTGCATGCTTTCAGTGTTAATAATATGCAATTAAACATAAACACGCCTGAAAACAGAGATGCATGCAAAATTCTAACTTCAACTCAAATCTTAAGCTGAGGTTCAACAATCAATCATACCAAAAGTCACCTTCCTATGAGGCTGAGATACATATCAAATAAACTATCAAAATAAAGCAATATTTATTGCTTTTTAAAAGTAATATTTATTGCTTTTTTATTTAACAATGTCCTGTCTGGCGAAATGTATTGCTTTTAAAAGTAAAAACAAGAATTTATTCTGAAATAAAGGAAACAGCACTATCTAGTGGGAGGTTTACTAATATCAGTTTCATTTCTATGAGCTGGGTGGAGCACATAGAAAAGGAGTAAACGAAACTTAAAGGTTTATTTTTCTCAGATCAAGGTGACAACATCCGAGTGAAATCTCTGAAGAGCTAAGGCACACAAAAGGAGAACTGTAAGTCACCAAACTGTCACCATCCTGTTTTTAGTGATAAGAAGAATAGGAAATCTGCTAAAATGGAGGACAAAATTGCTCTTTTTGCAACTTTCCTGAGTTGCCATGTGTGTTCAGAGACTTTCAGAGATCCTGTGTCTCTGAGCTGCAACCACAGCTTCTGTTCAAGCTGCCTGAAGGAATTCTGGGAACAAACTAAAAACAGGAACTGTCCCATCTGTAAAAGAAGATCAAAGGAAGACCTGTCTATCAACTTCTCCCTGAAAGACCTGGCTGATTCATTTGCAGAGAGGCAGAATGAAGCTTCAAATGAGATGCAAAAAGAAAGGAAAGAAGAGAAGAAGGTGGTGTGTGAGAAACACTTCATGGTTCCTCAGTGGTTTTGTAAAAATGAGAAGAGAGCTGTGTGTCCTGTCTGTGAGTTTTCTCTCCACCAGAGTCACAAAGTGGTTCCTCTAGAACAAGCAGTCAGTGAACTGAAGGAGAAGCTGAAATCTGACTTAAAGTCTCTACAGGAGAAGAACAACAAATACAAGCAAGTGGAGAAAACATATGATGATATGCTTCAACACTCCAAGGAGCAGCTGTTTTCCACAGAGAGACAGATCAGAGCAGAGTTCAACAAGCTCCACCAGTTCCTGAAAGAGGAAGAGGAGTCTAGACTGGCAGCTCTGAGGGAGGAAGAGGAGCAGAAGAGGAAGACTATCAGCATAGAGATGAAGAGGATTCAGGAGCAGATCTCCTCTCTGTCAGACAGTATCTCTGCTGTTGAAGAAGACCTGCAGAAAAACAACCTGTTGTTCCTCAGCAGCTATAAAGCCACTCAGAGCAGAGCCAGAGCCCAGAGCTCACTGTCAGATCCACAGCTGCTCTCAGGAGCTCTGATAGATGTGGCCAAACATCTGGGCAACCTGTCCTACAGAGTGGGAGAAGATGAAGGAGAAGGTCCAGTTCTATCCTGTTATTCTGGACCCAAACACTGCTAACGGATGGCTCCATCTGTCTGATGATCTGACCTGTGTGAGAAATAAAGACATAAAGCAGCAGCTTCCTGATAATCCCGAAAGAAACACTAAATATATTGAGGTTTTTGGCTCTGAAGGTTTCAGCTCAGGGAAACACAGCTGGGAGGTGGAGGTGGGAGACCATCCTGACTGGTATGTGGGTTTGGTTAAAGAATCAGTCGACAGGAGCGGAGAGAGAGATGTTACACCTGAAAATGGAATCTGGTGTTTGTGTTATGAAAATGGAAAATACACTGATGTTATTGGTAAGTCCATCAGAGTGAAGAAGAGCCTCAGGAGGATCAGAGTCCAGCTGGACTATGATAAGGGGGAGGTGTCCTTCTATGACCCGGAAGACTCAACCCCTGTCTATATTTACAGAGACGCTTTCACTGAGAAACTCCTACCTTACATCAGTGTCGGTGAGGCTGCTGATTCTAACATTGTAGGGATCAACATATGCAAGTCTCAAATGTAACATTAAACTGATTTATGCTTATTAACAGCACCATAACTAAATGTCCTTCCAACAGAATAACTGCTGGAATCTGGGTTTATATCTTTGTGTATATTTGGAATACTTATCTAATTAAAATCTGAAATGTTTAAAATATTATATAATTGAGACGGTCCTCATAAACCATGAATAAGAACTTCTTGTGTCATACAACAGAAAGAAAATTTTAATTGAAAAAGCTTCCTGGATGAGAAAGCGAAACATCTTCAAACTTGGAAACAAAGCCAGTGGTTTGTTTTTTAACTTTTTTGGAACAGAACGAAGGAAAAAAAACAACCTAGAAATGATTTAGGCAGAGTCCTCCGCATAAAATCGCTAAATATTTTTAGTTTTTTTAGCTGCTGCTAGGAAACCAAAATGTTCTGCTTTCTTTGCAAATGTTCTGTTTGTCACTGTTAAGGTATCTCCTGTGACTTAAAGGGCTTTTTCTGTGGTACGCCACCTGTTTCCTTGCAGGTACATATTTAGTTATTGCCATGCATTCTGGACCCAAGCAATGCAAATGGATGGCTCCATTTATTATTAGTGTTCTCAAATGAGATTTAACAATAATTTACCATTTTGGCCACTTAGCGTGTTAAAGTTGACCTAAAGCATAACATTTCCACTTAATACTGGCATTGGTACTTTTCTATTCCCTGGGATTTCTCCAGGTTGAGCTGATATAGAGCTGGAGGAGAGACGGAAGCGTGGGGAGTTGATTGATTTGTAAATGTTATACATTGCTGTTTTATTGGGTATACATTTTTGTTTAATCTTTTATTTTATCCTTCTGTTTCTTTATTAGCAGACCGAGACAATCATTAGGGGATCAACTATGTTTTTTCTCATCTTTTTTGCTTTGTTGTAAGATTTCTGGTTGTTTTGTTGATTAGATTCTCTAAAAAGACTACTGCAGAAAAAAAAAAAAACTGTACTTCTTAAAGATTAATGCACCAATGAGATTTTCCCTGGCCAACACAGATCTCTGCTCTGATCTGCAGGAAAATTTCGATCAGAACACAGTAAAACAAAACTGCTTATTTCTGCTACTGGTCATGTTATTGGTGCCAAGCAAGCATGATTTTATTAATAGATAAAACTGTGTAAACTGACTTAATTATTCACCATTTATTTAGAACCAATACTCACTGTGAAAACATACCGGCTTATATTGAAGTTAAAAAGACTAAATCTTCTCTCAAACTGTATCACATATCAGACTATCTAACAAATCTGTAATTGTAGACCTTATAAAGTTATTATGTTTATCTTCTAATGAGCACAATACAGAAAATACTGCTTATAATGTCATATTTAATCATTTGATATATATTAAATAGTTGGTGAATATCTGCAGTTTATTTGCACTTTTCACTATGTTTAGATAACCAGTAATACTAGGAATGCAATGCTGTGAAAGTTATTAAAGATTTGCTTCACTGTTGTAACTGACCTGAGTGTTGTTTTGTACTAGAGATTTATAATAGTATATATTGCTTGCCATGTACCATCTCTGGTGGGTTTGATGATAAATATAACCTCTGATCTGCTGTTTTTCTTATTTACATCGAGGTTTCGGTGATAAAAAGCAACCCTCCTGAAAGAGCAAAATAAACACAAATATCATCATTATTCTAAAATAACATAATATAACATACTCTAATATGATCCTTGAAAGAAGTCAAATCATGCCGACGGTATTTATTATGTGCTGATTGTCTGTATCTCTTATTTTCTAAATTTCTTAAATCTTGGAGATTTATTCAATAAACAGGGTGGATATTTGTGAACTTGAATGCATTTTATTTCATGCAATGAGCCAGCAAACTGTGGTTTGTATCGTGACAAATAGAACTGCATGACATTAAAATTTAAATTCAGATTATTTTAAAAATACATTCTTTATACTTTACCTACAGGGTTAATGAAATGAAAACTTTGAATCAATTTGACTGAATGATCTGGTTGAACTGTAAAGTGCCTTGAGATGACATGTGTTGTGAATTGGCGCTATAAAAATACACTGAATTGAATTGAAATGTTTTTTTTTTATAGAGTTTTTTCAAAGAGTCCTAGTAAATATTCATGCCTGTAGACTGGTTGGATCTTCTGTAGCGGTCCGTCTTGCAGGGTCACTCAGAGTTATCCTTAATCTTAAATAATCTCCAGAGATTCTAGAAGAGATCCCTGAACAGAGAATCTTTTCTTCATTAGCTTGTTCAGCTTTGTTGATGAATTTACTTTAATGCTGTTACCCCAGCAGATGATGACAGAAGAGATGATACTCTCCATACAGACCTGTATAAGCATGGTACTGATTAATGGTGAGATTTCTATCTAACTACCCAATTAGACAGGTGGACCTTCAATCTAACCAACTGTGGTCTGTTTCTCAGGTGGTTTTTGATCCAGGCATTATAGCTGGTTGTTTGCTTTTAGAGGTTGTAAGTTTTCTTTTGTACTGGAACAAGGCAGGAGCTCTTCAATATTTAAAATGTTCTCCAGCTTTTCCATGATGCTAAAGGATGGTTTTCTCATGGTCTGATTTTCAACCAAACACAGCAGCTCACATGTGACCAGTGAATTCTGAAAGTAAAACACAATGATGACTTCTCTGATAAGAAGCAATGCCTCAGTGTCACTATCAGTCTTTCTCTGTTGTTCCTGGGTTAATAAACAGCTGATAGCAAAGCATGTTCATCTCCTGTACACAGACTTCCTGAAGGGTGTGGTGGATCAACTTCATCATGTTGATGATTAGATGAACAGGGTACCTTCAGGCTGCTGGGTTATAGACAGCTCTCTTGATGAATTATCTGAGATGTTTGGATTTATTGTGATGTAGGAAGTGTTGCTTTAAATAAATCCTGAAGTGTGCCATTATTAAAACTCCCTCTCAGCCCTGACATCATCTAATTTTCCAGTTATGTGTAACTACAAATAATTACAAATACTTAATAAACAAGAAACTTATTGATATTTGAATGAAAAAAGCTGCATCTCTTTATTTATTTGTTCCAGGTATCAAGCACATCGTTTTTTATCCTGATAGCAGGATGGTCCTCTGTCCACTGGTCCTTTCAGACTGATCCATGTCCTCAGCTGTCCAAAATTAACCTTATGGGTTGAGTATATTAAAAAAAAGAAAATCAGCTTCTCTACTTTCAGTCTATGTTACAACTTAAAGGGACTATTTCTTGCCTATATGACGACCACTTTCAAATCACAAACATTCACTGGATTCTTAATAAATAAATCTCTACAGATTCCAATTTAAAGCAAGCAGACATTTAGGCTTTAGACTCACTCATTCTACTTACAGTCATAACATGTTTACATTTTAGTGGTGAATTACAGCACACAGTGCCTTGCAAAACGATTTAACTTAAATGTTCTTTTCTTTCTGCTAAAACAAAAATCTTTACACATACTAACACAATTCTATGTGAGAAGTTAATTGATTAGGGCAAAACTGTTCAGTGGAAAGAAACAGATACACAGTTGGTATTTTTTTTTATAATATTGTCTAATAATGTCTGTTTCTTTCAGACCAACACCTCATACATCATAAAGACTGAGGAACACAACAGACAGGTCAGGGACATCACTGTCATTCAACTTTACTATCATGCAAGCCTTTCTGTCTCTGCTACTAAAAATCTAAATCAAAAACAACATTTATGTTTGCAAAAAGACAAATATGAAACGGGTATAAATACTTTTTCAAGGCATTTTATATATATATATATATATATATATATATATATAACTGACTCAGATGAAAGCAAATAATACAGCACAGTAATAGTAATAATAAATAATTCAATGTAAATGACTAGTCGCTCTCCCATTATGCCAGTTTCACCAGTCTCTCACTGGCCTCCCACAGTTTTTTTGCCACACCGGCATCTCTTGCGAAAGGACGCAGGGTGGCGGGCTGGCAGTCGACGAAGTAACCCCCACTGTGCTTGGCAGCTTCATCCGACACGGCGCAGTAGATGACGGTCTGTGCTCCGATCTCACACGGCACGGAAAACATCCACATGATTACCTGCATCAACATCCGGAACAGGAAGGAGTAGTGGCACGTCCAGCCGCTCTGGACAAAACCTGGAGCAACGTGGGATGAAAGAAAAACAGGAGGAGAAAAGTTTGGTTGTTTATAAGGCTGACAGAACAATTTGAGCAACAACAACCATTTTTAAACAACCTCTGTTGCTTATTTCATGTAAAATATCTGTAAAAAAGTTGATGAGTTTTTTTTATTTTTACTCAATGTATGAAGAAAGTATCCTCCCATCAAAATTAAAACCAACTATACCCTAAATTCCCTGCCTGTTCAGTAGCAGCTTTTCATCAAACTTCCAGCTTAGTTGTAAGATTATCAATGTTAAAGTTCAAAGTTACAGCAAACAATAAGGCTGGTAGATTTTCAAACGATCAACTACATAATTAGTTTCACATCAGACCCAGTTATCTTATTTATATAATGTTTAAAAATGTTTATATTTTTTGCATCCCACACCAATGAAACCAACATTCCAAAACCATCAAGACAATAATAAGGTTAAACATAATGATTTAAATCCTTACAAATAAAAGGCCCTGCAGATTCAGAAAGTTGAATATGAAACCTTTGATAATATGAAATCTATTCAGTCCCAGCTTTTATTTTATTTCATTTTTTGTTAATTTGTAGATTAAAAATAAATAGGGAAACTGGACAGAATGGCAGGCATCTTGGTTTTTTACAGTGCGTCTAAAGAGGAGACAGGTGCTGACTTTAAGTAGATAAAATGATCTATTTTTAAGCTGTTGAATGCAGTTCTCAAAAGAAAGAAAAATTGCCTGTTTTCCAGTGAATAAATAATTTGTCATACTGGAATTGTTACATTGCAAACCTTAATAAACCTAATCTATTTGCTTTGAATTTGTTGTAAGAACATTTTGATGCATAAATATTAGGTGCTTTCCTGCAAACTGGCTATTTTTTTTTAAATGTATGCAGTAGTTATTAGCATTAGCTCTAATTGTCTAATGTTAGATTTAAACAGAAATAGAATCCAAAGCTCTTACCAGGGTTCACAGCATAGGAAGTGACTCCTTTTCCCTCGACGATGCGAGCTAGCTCCTGACTGAAGTAGATGTTAGCCAGCTTGCTGCGGCAGTAAGTGAAAAAGGGCAGCAGGTTGTAGTTGAGGTCCTGAAAGTCCAGCTTCTGGTATTTGTAGCTGGAGCAAGTGAGCGTTATGACCCGGCTGGGGGCACATTCCTTCAGCCGAAGCAGAAGCAGGTTGGTTAAGAGGAAGTGGCCCAAGTGGTTTACGCCGAAACACGTGCTGAAACCGTCGTCGGTCCAGTCAAGGATGCCAGGCATGCCTGAGGAAGACCCGATACAGGAATATAGAAAAAGAAAAAAATGTGCATAGCATGACAAAAAAATCACAACATTAATCTGATGATGATTACTGGGTCGTAGTTAATTACTTGAGGGTAACATGTTCCCTCTTCTCTACCAGGATAGAACTGACTGTTCCTAGTTTCAGTTTGATGTCTGTAGCACACAAAAGCCTTATCCTACCTATCCTGGTCAGGCAACTAATTCCTCATTTGCTGAATATATCTGTGTTAATAGTGAAAACACTTTTATTCTTGTTTCTATGTTAGTTAGGGCTGAAACATTTAATCGGATTAATCGCGATTAATCAATTACTAAAACAATGTTAAACTAACTTAGTATAGCTGTAATCTGACACGCAGGCTAATCATTAACTGGAGTATAGAGACTTTAGTTGACCTACTTAAAGCAGTAATCGTAGCAAAATTGTAAATATATATATATATATATATATATATATATATATATATATATATATATAATATACATTCTGCATTTAGGATATAATAAATATGTTTTCTTCTGAGAATATTCTCTATCCAGAACTTAAAGAAGAAAAAGTCTTCTTTAAGGAACCTTTGGCTATCCGATTATTAATTGCTTAATCAAAAAAATAATCGACAGATTAATCCTTTTGCAAAATAATCATGAGTTGCAGCCCTAATGTTAGTACTGATCCATCTTACTGTGGTTAAGCTACTTACCTGCATTATTTATCAATATGTGAAGATTCTTCTCCTTCTGCAGAAACTTCTTGCAAAATTCCCTGACAGAGCAAAGATTGGCCAGATCCAGCTCCATGTGACAGACATTGAAAGAGCGGCTCCTCAGTTTGATCTCTCTTATGGCCTTTTCAGCTTTTTCAGGGTCTCTGCAAGCGATGATGACGCGCGCTCCTCTGGTTGCCAGGGCAACGGCTGTTTCCTTCCCAATGCCAGAGTTACCTCCTGCAAAAAACAGATAAGCTTTAGCAAATATTTCCAGTTTTTTATAGATTGACAGATTCAAACTAACATAAAATGGATTCCTTTATTAATACAAATTAGCAAGCAGTGGTAAACAGTGTGTGGAAACGATTCTTCATCGCAGAAAAAGAAAAATACAGCAGAGATGACCAGCAAATGTCACATTTACCTGTTATGAGAACCGTTTTACCATCAAGTCTTTTCAGCTCCGTGAAATATCGCCTTCTTTTCATCCATTTTAAAATGAAAAAGAAACTTAAAGAGGCAAGTACCGTGTAGAGAAGATACATTTCCCTGTCAGCTCTTCTTTCAATGAGCTAACAGTGATGTTGCTACATATGCTAGCTGGTTAGCATGCTAACTTAATGCTTCCTCCAATATCCCGACATTCTGAACGTTTAGCTGTAGTTTGACATGCAGGCTAAACTAGACTTAACAGAGAACACCTTTTATTATTGAAAACAACTAAAGTGCAATATTAGCTTTTCGACATTTGTAACCAGAGGTTCCTGCCAGAAGAATGTCTTCTTCTTCTTTTCTTTATTAGTCATTAGAAGAACTTAAAGGTGCATACCGCCACCTACTGTTCAAGAGTGTGTAGCTATACATGCAATGTTACTAGAATGTACTGTATTTAGTATTAAATGTAACCGAAAATAATGATGTATTATTAGTTCTAATTTACCGCCTATATCCTTATGTTCCTAATATCAATTTTAAACTATATTCTCTCAGTATTTCCTTTATTATTTTCCTCATCTGCTGCACATTTATCGAACTTCATCCAAACATGATCCACATTATAGTAAGCAGTAACCCTCACATGTATAAATATTCCCTAGCACAAACAAATCTCATTTAAGTTTCCCTTAATCTTTTTTTAAATAAATTCTCCCCTTTTGTTTCGTTCTCTATAATTTCGCATTACAGATTCTTTAATTCTATAGTTTTATTACTACATCTTAATCTATTTTTTTGGCCAGATTTCTGTATATTACTAATTTACCAGCATCTTTCCCTATATTAATATGTACCATTATTTCTTTCCTTAAATCCTTTTAAGCAAGCTCATCTGCTGTGTTATTTCCTCTCACCCCATTTATGAATGTGTTTCACACCTAAATAAGCTGGATATTTTATAATGGATTTGCAAGAAGAATGTCTCTTTTATTGTTGTATGGTAAACAGCAGTTATAATCAATACCTTATACTGAAATGAAGTGTTTAATTGAATTTTGATGTACCACATTTCTACAAGTTTATTTATATGCCAACTTGTTTCCTTTCATTCCTGTGAGATTATCCATATAAAAGTAATTATTTGTCTTTTGGTTCAACTCTGTACTTTAATTGTTGAAAATAAATTAACCTGGTGGTTAGAGCAGAGTACTTGTGTTTTATTAAAAATGTTTAGCATTTAGGAAATGTCCTGATAAATTATTAATAATCAGAAAGACTTAGAAATCAGCAATGAATCCAAACATTTCTTATGTGTAAACCGAGACTTCATCACTAATAATGCAACACGTTTTCAAAACCGAATTCTGGAAATTAAGACAGCATTTCTGTTATTCAAGTCTTTCGATATGCATTTGTGGAAACGTATCAGAGTTGATGCTGAAGCAGATGCCACACTATCATAACCAAAAACTAACCTCATTGAACTAGTTTGGTGCAGAAAGAAAGTTGCAATCCAGCCGTATATCCTCTTTGAATATAAGGATCCTTTAGAGTAGAACCATCTGTAAATCAGTGTCCTCAAATACGATGAAAGCCCACAGAAAGGCTTAGCTGTTGCAAACCCATGTCACAAATATTTCTCCCATTTAAATACCATTAGTGCAGTGCAGCAATAAGATGCAATCAAACCACCTAACTTGAGACCTAAATTGGTCATAAATTATGCATGGCTATGATGTGAAACAATGCTTCAGTTGAGATTATAATACTTATGCATCTGAACTAAAGTAACAATGTGACTTCAACCGCATGCATGCACATCCTTGGAAATGTAAAGAATGTGTGTCATGTGTTTGGAAAGCAGAAGAGAACATATCCTGTTTAAAATTGTCATTTGTTAAATCATTACAAGAAACCCATAACTTGGACTCATGTGATCTGGGTTAAATGACCTTTGGTACGCTTTTCATCTCTGCATAAGTCGCAGTCAAGGGTAGACTCACTCAGCCATGAGTGTTTACTTGGTGTTCTCCAACCAAAACATGGGAAAAAACAGGAGAGAGTTCATTTTTCTCTGGATAATTCTCATTTTCTTCTCATCTAAAACCTCAGGTATGTTCTCCAAATATGTAACTGTGCAAATAACATAAATGTGTACGAGAGATTTTAAAATCTGTTGTTCAAGTCCTAAAACAATTCTGAGTAATGATTTGCACGTTTTAGGTCTAACATGCAGGAGGAGGTGTGGAAGTACATTGGAGGAATGCTCCTGCCAGGAAACCTGTTTGTCTTTGAAAAACTGCTGCTCAGACTACAACCAGTCCTGCTTCAATGTGTCCCCCTACTCCAGCTCCATGCTGGGTGGAAGAGCTCTCAGGATCCTTGGTCTGACTCTTCCCTCTGATGGGCATCTTCTCTGCAGGTTTGACTTTCTATACCTATCATAAATCACTGTTATATCTATTTAAGTTACTAGTAATCCAATGACATATTACTGAGTAATCAATCTTTAAAAAAAAAAGAATATTACACAAAACTTAAAATTAAACAAAAACAATTCAGGATTTCTGACGTAAGTCACTGTTCAAGCTGAAATTGCATAAATTCAGATTTTTAAAACACTCATCTGAATCACATTAAAACAGTAATTAATTAGAACAGGGTCTCAAACTGGCTCCATAAAGGGCTGTGGGGCTACAGGTTTTCTTTCCAACCAAACAAAAGCACATCAGATTCCATTCATATCATCAATTCATCATGTTCAGATCGGACTCACTAGATTAGATGACTGGAGTCTGGTGTGCTGTCGTTTGGTTGGATAGAAAAATTCTGGAACCAGTTTGACACCCCTGAATTAGAACAATGTTGTAGAAAATGCTATATTTTACTTGTTGTAGATTTGAATTTTAAACCTAGATTTATTTAATACACCCAGTTTTCTTAAATGATTTGCTCATACATATGTGTATTTTGCATTCAAATTTTCTACCATTTTACAGAGAATTTAAATGTTCTCTGTGAACTAAGTACAAACAGATTAAACTAAAACGAGCTGTGCAGCAAAACAAGTCAAAAGGTCAAATAAATCCACGTTTCTTTGAATTTGTTTCAGGTTCAAAGGTGACATTGAACAGCGGGGGGTTATTGATGAAGAGGGCCGACCCTACTGTATTTCCCCTCTGCTGCTTGAGACGGGTTGGATCTCCATTGATGTCTCGACAGATGGTACAAATTTTGACAGATCAGGAGAGTATCTGTCCGGTAAGAAGACTTTAAAAAAAACTCTCTTCTATTTAACTTGTTTTTACCTCTTCTTAGATTATATCAGATTATTAATCAGTGCTTTTTTTGAGCAAGTATTTTTACAAATTGCCACAGCAAAAAGTAACTTTGAACTTGCAAAACTTTTATGAGATATTACACAAATTATATTTTATGTTTCCTATTCAAAGATTTTTTCCTTGTACCTGTCTGGTTCCTTAAATGTCACAAGAACTTCTAAAAAACAACAAAATCTCAATTGGAGCCTCTCTGCCTACAGCTGCTCTACCCCCTAACCTCTACAACATTTATGTTTATAAAATCAATCTTTTAAAAACAAATCATTGTTTTTTTCACAAGCTTCTTAAAGCTTCAAATTAAACAGCAATTTATAGAATATATATATAACTGTAAACATGATCTTGCATCCGTTAAAAGCGTAGTTACCATCTGGGGCAAAACGCTCCAGCACACGTGCAGTGCAAAAAACTAACATAAAAATACAGAAAGTAAATTTTTACCTAAAATAAGTGCATTTTTCTTGAATTGAGAAGGTAAGTGAGACATTTTGCAAATGGAACAAGATATTTTACACTTAAAATAAAAAATTATTGTATTGTTCAGTGTTGCAGTGGGCATCGTGGCTGCCTTGCAGCAAGAAGGTTCCAGGTTTGATTCCTGACCTGCTGTCTTTCTGCATGAAGTTTGCATGTTCTCCCTGTGCATGTGTGGGTTCTCTCCGGGTACTCCAGCTTCCTCCCACAGTCCAAAAACATTACTGTTAGGTTAACTTCTCTAAATTGTTTGTCTGCGTGCCGCCCTGCGATGGACTGGCGATCTGTCCAGGGTGTACCCCGCCTCTCGCCCGTACACAGCTGGAGATAGGCACCAGCACCCCTCATGACCCCACTTGGGATAAGCGTGATGGAAAATGGAAGGATGAATGAATTGTATTGTCTTATTTCCAGTGCATATTAGCTAATTATCTTATTTTAAGAGAAAAAATACTCATCCCATTGGCTAACTATGTCATTTACCTGCTCAAATTAAGGGTAAATACACTTAATTTTAGAAATGTTGACTTATTTCTTAAATTAAGTGCATGCAGTGTGGCTTTCTAGAAAACTGCATACTTTTTCTCTTTGCTGGACAGACTGTTTCATGTTGGGCTCACATGTTCACAATAAATATACCAAAGATTTTTCAGGGAATTAAATTATCTGGTTTATGAAACTAAATGTCTGAAATGTTCAGAGAGCTGAGGGACACCAGGGGGAGATGCTGCTGTGCTTTATTACAAAAACAAGTTTAACTACAGTAATGTGAGGACAGGATGGCAAATTTAGATTATCTATAAAAAGACGTAAAAGTATGAGGGTTAATCCCTCAGATTGACTCAAATGTTACAGGACTCCTTGAGGCTTTTTAGAAAAATGCTTTATATTGTATGAGATGCTCCAGTCAAATCATCAGCATGCTACTGAAACAGCTGACCTTACCAGAACCTTCAGACATAATTTGATTAGGTCTACCACCAAAATGAGGTCTTTGTTGAGCTGTCGAGTACAGTTACTGGAACATTCAGCTGTTCCAATCTTTCTACCACCTTCAAGTCAACAAGGCAGAAAAAAACCTATTTGACTTGGATTTCCTATTCAAATAACTGTCAATAACAAAACTGCATTTAAATCTATATATTCTTTCCAATCATTAACCCAGTGAGGCATTAAGCCCAATAAACATTAACTGCTTAAAGGGGGAATTATGTTTCTATTTGCTCAGACATTTGGCTCTGGCTTGCAAAGCTAAAATACTGACATGTGCCATGCAGTAAGGCTTATTGGAGGAACCAAAGTGAATCACAATGAGTGCTCATCCAGTCCAGCTGAGTTTACGATGTACCTTCAAAGGACTTTGTAAATTACAATAAAAAAAATCCTTTTCAAATTAAGCAACATCTAATTGTAAGTTATACATAGACTAATTTCCTATTAGTATTTAGTCCTTTTTGACCCTGAACATCATTTTTACACTGGGTGTGATCAGCAGAAACATTGTTGTGTGCCATTTGCTGGCAGCTTATTTTTGTGAATTGGAGAATATCATACATTTTATATCAACTTTTCTGTTACTATATGACTAAGAGCTTAAGAATAACATTGCTATTACGAGCATCCATACTAGTAAGGGTGTGTGTATTTACTGAACATGGCAGAGAAATCTTTTCCTCTTTCTTTAGGTCCCTTTTCTCTGTGTTGCTGAATATCTTGATTTCATCATTTCTCCAGTAGGCATAATGTATGTCTATGGTATTCCTTGTTTACCCATAGAGACCATGTGCAATATTTTACCTCCGGGCACATGTTTTTGCTGCTTTTAAATACACTAAATGTGCTTTGATTGCTAACAAATAAAGTAAAAATATAAATAATATTGAAGAATCCAACATGTGGCAATAATTTCTTAGAGCTTAATTTTGTAATGATCAGAACAGGTGGACCCAGAATTCAAACCAGACAACCTTTGTGAAAGCTTAACACAGTTTATTGAAATGAATTTGCTGCAGGTGGTGTCAGCGACTAGGGAAGGGACCTCTGGAAATGGAGACAGAAGATTAGAAACAATGTTAGCTTTATAATATGTACTGTACCAATCCCAAACATAATGGTCACTAACCCTCTCTTAGTCCTCAATGTGGGATTTGAGTTAGTTGACAGTAGCGCTGATGTTACTGTCACTGGTCAGGAAGTCCCAGAGAATAACTCCAGCCGATGATCCGTGTGCAGGCAGTGGGTCAGAACCATGAGGACAATAGTAGGCAGGAGGAACAGGAGGACAAACCAGAATCCGTTGTCAGGATTGAAGTCCAGGGTCAGAGCCAGGTTATCAATAGTCCAATGAGGCACCAGAGGGAAATCCAGGATGAGGTCGAGAAACTGTTTTAGGTTAGACAACGAGCAGGTAGGCAAACAGATCAGGATTAGTCAACGCAGACAGGCAGTCAGGTCAGACAGGGACCAGGCAGGCTCAGAAACAGGGACAGATCACATCAGGCAAACAGGCAGAAAGTCAGGAATCAGAATGTTGGAATAGACCTCCCCAATGGCTCGAAATGATCTGCCACTGATGTTTGGTCTGAAGGCTGGTTATGTGCTGATAGGTGATGGTGGAACAGATGAGTAGTAATCAGAATGGGACGACTCAAACCAGCATCAGTGCTGAGATCCCGACAACTTTGGTGGTATGCAACCAGAGTAAGCTACTGGAGGAGATATTTCCTTTAAACCTTGAAAGGAAGCTTTTGTTGGACCTGTTCACCTGTAGAAGACTGATATTGTTTTTTATTTCCTACAGAGTTCTGAGAAGTTATTTAAAACTAGTAAAAAAAGTAAATTGCTATCAACCCTGGCAGTTGATCATCTGAGCAGGGTTGTCCTATCATCGAAGGCAAGTGTTCTACCTGTTTTAGATATGCTCCTACTTCAGCATCACCATTAATGTCCAATTAACAGACTTCTGCTGAACTGTAAACATTTAGATGTGTCTCTGGTTGAAGACACCAAAGTCAAATATCAGTTCGTTATGAGGACTCGAGATTACTGGGAGGTATTTCAACCATTTATTGCTGATGTGAGGAAGATATATATCTAAAAGGTGCAGGATGTTGGACCTGCAGAGGCCAGAATTAAGGAACATCAATTGGCTCACAATTCCTTTGGACACCCCTGGCTTAGAATAACAATGTACCAAAGCAATACATTTGAAAAGATATTTTTCTGCACAGCACAATAATCCTCACCTCCAGGTTTCCTAAAAGTGGTTTCTGAAATCATGCCTGTACAGCAGAATAAGTGCTTCCCCTGTCCTTGTTTTCTCTATTTATTACCTCTGCCAAGGAGGTCATGTTTTTAGGAGAGTTTGTGTGTGTGTGTGTGTGTGTGTGTGTGTGTGTGTCTGACTCTCTGTGTACTACTGCGGGATAAATTGAAAAGTTAAAAACAGGTTTTCATAATATTTTTGCTGGAGGTGCGCCTCAGGCCAAGGAACATTCCATGACATTTTGATGATGATCCAGATCATAATCCAGACACATGTTTTTTTTTAAAGGATTATTTAATATTGTGATTTATGGAGGAACTAAGCAGTACCCCTCTAAACTAAAGGGTGAATGACTCTAGAGGTGCGAGTTTTAGGTGTAGGCCATAATAAGAGGGTAAATTTGCTGCTTGGTTATTTTGAGGAACATGTTTTTTTTTTGTTTTTGTTTTTTTTACTACAGGGATGAACTGATTACAGGTTTCTGGCCGATCATTGATAACTGATCTTTAAAAAGATTGACACGCTAAGTCCGACTTTGACAGATACAGATTTCTTTTGATAAATGACGGTGTCAGTTGTTATAAGATAACAGGACACATATGAGGGGCCGTTTAGGACAGAAACTATTTTTCCTCTCACGTACACCAATAAAACCATGCACACACATCAGTAGACACACACACACACACTCAACAAAAATATGTTTTCCTCTCAAACACATTACTATGACATGCATACATCACAGTAGAAACACTTTCAGTTTCTGTCCTAAACGGCCCCTCATAGACACAAGATATTTCAGTCTTATCTTACTTAAAAAACACTCAGCATTGCCCCTGAAACAATAAAAACTCCTGAAATAACTGCTCTCAAATGTAAATAAAGTTTAAGGCTTTGACTGTGGGTGGTTTTCAGACCTTTACAGAGGTAGATCAGCTCAGGAGAAAAGATTGGTTTCACATCTAAGTGTTGGTCGATCACAGATCTCCCAAATTTAAGAAAATTGTGGCTGATCGATCTGCCGGCTGATAAATCTGTGCAGCCCTCCTATTATACATCTAAAAAATCATTGATTCAGTGGTAATAATGGTGCAATACATATTTTTGAACTAGATCGGCCACTGCAGGAAGAATACAAAAGTTCAACAAGGGTCCTAACTAAATTTTTTTAAATTTAGTTTTATTTGCATGGCTAACTTGATACTAACACATTATCCAAGCTATAAAGGCAATAATAATAATAAACAGTAATTTATTGACTTTTTAAACTTTCTGTTGATTGATTAACCTGATCTAAACACGTTCTCTGTTATTGTTCTCTCAGTGTATCCCAGCAAAGCAGATCCTTCATTTAAAGTCACCCTTGTGAATTCAACACTGTGGCAGAACTATGGCACTCCAAACATGGCAGGACAGCTGAGGATGACCTGGAACAGCTCTTTAGTTGGATCAGAGAAGATCGACGTGGAGCTGTGGGGTTACAGAGAGGTCAGCAGGACCGTGGCGGGGTTGTCCGCTCCGCAGGCAGAGATAAGATACCTGTACTCTCTGGGTCGGAACATTCCCAACACGGGTGACTTCAGCTTCCTCCCTGAACCCAGAGAAGAGTTTTCTTTGTGGGAGTTGGGGAATATTCGCATCACTGCAAGTTCTAAATCAGAGGGAGAAAGGTATAATTCTGCAGCAATTTCAAATTTTATGTAGAAAAAGCTTAAAAATGGGTTGAAATGTATCCTTTTAGGGCGGCCTGTTTCTTCATGCCTTTTACACTGGTGGAGTTTTCAACCTGCAGTAGAAAAACAGCATTTACATTTTATTTCAGCTGCAAAGCTTGTTGGCAACCCTGCTCTAAATATTTTGCAGCATTTTGCCCTTTCAAGTGTATTATTATATAAATCAATAGTTTGCCCTCTGCGTAATGTGATACGTTAATTTGTGTTGATACTCAAGGAGTCACAGATTACTAATTAGTTTCTGCAAACATTGTTTTCAATGGAGTTTAGGAGATTTCATTTAAGAGTTTCTGAACACTGATTATGTTAATGAATATTACTTAAAGGTATAGTGGAGGATGTGCTTTTTCCGGATGGATCATCAAAATAAGTGGTCCTCCTAATTGTCAATTATTCTGGTGATATGTTTACGTAAGGCCGTCCGACGTGCTCATCTTCATTTTCACATACGGGTAGTGAGTCTGACATTGTGGAAAAATTGCAAATATTCTTTTAGAGAGTAAGCCTGTATGAGCAATGCCAACAGCAACTTTCAAACAGAGAGTACGTGAGGAGACATTGGCTCATGCATGCTCTCACACGTGTAGGCGTTGTATATTTGATTTTTTTTTTAAATGGAGAGGTCTTTCCTAGCATTCCCAAAAATCCTCCACTATACCTTTAATATAGGATTTTTCTGGTTGGATGAATAGCTGAAAGTTTTTATCATGTAAATATTTTTATGGAGAGATGTTACTCTTGCATAGAATATGATGTTATTAATTTATTTCATATGTTGACCAATGATGGCAACATACTGTACATGCTAGTTTCTGTATATAAAAAACCCATGTGTGCATAAAACCTGAGGTTCAGTGAACCATACTTCTATAGCTTGGATAAATAGATCAAATAAGAACATTGTCCGATTTACAGAATATTGCTTAAATGAAATGGATGATTTTAACAGCATTTGTGAATGTTTATATACATCTAATATTTTTAAGATGGCAGTTACCAAGTCACCATTTACCCAATATTTAAGAAAAGGCAAACTTATCATTTTATCTCATAATCTCTTTATATTAATATGAAAATATTTTTGTCTGAGAAATATCAAACATAAGTTAAAATAGTTTCTCTTTAATTAAATGTTAAAATCATAATTTTTGAGGTGTTGTTTCTACTTGGTTGTTCTTTCCAGGAATCTGCAGGCTTTGTGGAGTGAAGGTCATGTTTTGGCCTGGCACCTGTCGCAGGCCTTCAGAGATGATTCGTCCCGTTGGGCACAAAAGAAATGTTTGCAGTGGGACAATCTAGAGAAGAAGCTGCCTAACTTCCTGGATGAGCTCATCCCCTGTCCGTGCACACTGGCTCAGGCTCGAGCAGACACGGGGAGATTTCATGTGAGCATCTGCACAGAAATTACTGTATGATGTACTCATTTTGTCCCCTCTTGGTGAAATATTCAAAAAGTGAGCATTTTGACAGCTGTACTTCTGATGCCTTCTTTTCCTCAGACTGATTACAGCTGTAACATTGAGACGGGCAGTGTGTGTACTTACCACCCTGGTAGTGTCCACTGTGTCAGAGCCATTCAGGCCAGGTTAGGGGGGAGCATAATAACAGGGGAACTTTTTAAACATCTAAGTTTGAGTAATATAAAGTTTGTTGCTTGTGTTTTACTCTTCAATTGCAGCTCAAATCATGGATCGGGACAGCAGTGTTGCTATGACCACAGCGGTGCTCTGGTCCTGACGGGCGACTCTGTGGGTGGCAGCACTCCAGACCGTGCTCATAACTGGGGCTCACCCCCCTACAGGGAGCCCCCTCAGGTTCCTGGGTATTCCCACTGGCTTTATGATGTGACGAGCTTCTGTTACTGCTGCCTGTGGAGCGACCTCTGCCACATCTACCTAAACCATCGACCCTCCAGTGGATGTCGCAGATACCAGCCACCAAGAGCAGGTTGAACCATAATGGAATCAAAAAGTCAAAGTGTTTATACATAAAATAGTATTGCAATTGGAAATTCTCAAAATTGTCATTTTATTTATTTTATTTTGTAGCATACTGTAGCATTGTTCCCCTCCAGCATCTGTTGCTACTCACAGTTGCTCATCTGTCTGAGAGAGAGCTACTAGACATTTCTCTTTAAAAAATAAATAAAATAAATGTAGGGGTTTGTATGTACGGAAGCCGAGAGTGGCTGTGTCACTCAGATACTTTTTCATGGTTTTCTTTCTAGAGTTTCTCATTATCTAAAGATAATGAAAGCCGTTTTCTCGTGATAACAAGATTAAAGTTTTCTCACCAATCATCTCATCATAGCGTGATGATTGTTATATCTTTAACTGATTACGTCCTTCAATACCACAACAGCAGTAGAGAGTTTATAAGTATAAGTCATGGCAGCCTATGTGTTATTCTGTAAATAATCCTTTGTTCAACTTTTAGGTAGTAAGACAACTTTGTTGGTGTGTATGATTTGCTTCCACTTTTGATTCTTAAGCAATTAGTCCTATGTCTGCGGTGCCTTAGCACCTGGTGTTTGAATGATCAAGACCTGTAACAGGTAAAAGATACATTAACCCCCAAAGATTTTCATTAAAAAAACAGTCCGATTTGTTTCTACTGTATTCCATATAATCCAATCATACATCCCAATCTGACAATTAGTGAAAAGAAATAGGAAACTGAAAAAGTCAGCCTCATTCATTACTCATACAGGTCGATTATCTCATTATCTCGAGAAATCAATAACTTTTCTCATGATAACGAGATAGTTATGACGTTATCTCAAGAAGGCAAAGGAAAATTTTTTTTGAGTACGACCGTTCTCGGCTTCCATTTTCAAAACACAAACTGTTAATTTATTAAAACAGCTTTTTTTAAAAGGAAACTTTATTTAACAGTAACTACGGTTATTACAAAAAAGAAAAGGCTAATCTGTAAAGCATTTGATTTCAGCTAGCTCTTTCAGCAGATATTCCAGGTTATTCACCTGCTAACATCAGCTTTTTAAGCAAAATTGTAGAAATATACTTTTTAGATAAACCCTTAAAAGTCAAAATACAGTTTAATGGTTGATTCTACTGTGATATTGCATGAGTTTGTGTATTAAAAACAAACACTACAGTAAAGGTCTAACATTATTCTGACATGAGTCATCCGTACGGTATGGCTTTGTTATGATAACATTAAAAATTTGTTTTTATACGAGGTAGTCACAGAATAGCATCAGTAATGTAATGACTTGTAATTCTGTTGTTTATTAGCTTCCTATCCTTTTGATTTTGGTTTTTGAGACCTGTTTTCTCATAAAACTGTTTACCTCAATCTGACTGCTTTACCTTCCTCCAAACACTTTCTACAAAGGCACATAAGAGCAGAAGGTAAAACCAAACTTTTTGAAAGCTATTGAGTTAAACTGGGAGCATAGATGTGGATGATATATATGTCAATTAAACATAAACTACAAATAGAAACTTTAATATTTGTGGCAAACTGTTGGTTTAAGTCATTCATTTTGTTTCTTTCTTGCTGCTTCGCAGGTGTTGTCTTTGGGAATCTGCATTTTATAACATTTGACGGCCTCAGCTACACCTTCAGTGGCAGAGGAGAGTATTACCTGGTGTCTTCAGGACACAGAGAGCTGAGAGTTCAGGCTAGAACAACACAACTAAAACTGAAGAATGGTGAGTTCGCTTTTAAAGTCTATTTTCACCCATATTTGATCCAAATGGTCCTACTGTATCAATTTAAACGTAGATTTTGTCTGGATATAAATTGCTCTAGGCCCCTGCAGTGATTTATTTCTTGGATTATTTATTATTTATGAATTTTGTCTTCTTTTGTCAGCACCCAGGTAAAGAGAAATTTCACGGTTCTCCTCCAAAAAAAAGATGATAGTAAAATTCATGAATTGTAGGTGACAAGAATTGATCAATGTTTTGTGAGATTGGAACTCGATCAAATGCAGATGGAGACTGTTATTATGTAGTCGTTAGCAGTGGGTCAAAAAGTTCATATAGAAAAACTGCCAAGTAAAGGTAAAAGGAAAACTAGGGACAGGGCATGAACAAAAAACCAGGCAGAGCAATAAAGAAAAACAGGCCTGACAACAGAGGGAACCTGTAGGGACAAATACATAGATGAGTATGTAGACTCAGGTAGGGAGATGGCAAACAGTAAGAGCTAATCAGAGGAAACAGCAAACGACTAAGGCAGAAAGAAAATGTAGAGTGGAGCAGGATCACAGAGAAACTAAGGGAAGAGTGAAACAGAAATAATTAAAAATGTCCCAATAACCAAATAAACTAAAAGGAGAACAAAAATACAACAAGGTTAGACTAAATTGGGAAGCACCAATCTAGAAATAGCAAACACAAGTAAATGAACTAAGGACGTTGTGACCCAAGGAAAACAATAAACATGAAGGAAATGGTTAAAATATATTGAAAAGAAAATCAGATAATTATTCAAAATTTCTCTGAACCAAGCAAACCAAAGTGTTAACTCTAGAAGATAATCTGCTTCGACAAAGTCATGTTTGTGTTCACCTTTAAGGCACCTTAGTCAATGCTACCAAGCTATCATCAGTGGCCATGAAGGAGAACTCCTCGGATGTCATTGAGGTACGAGCAGCAGGCGACCAACTTCAGGTGCTGAGGAACCAGAAGATCCTGCCTTTTACGGATCAATTATGGATGACTCTGCAAGGTGGGCTAATTTTAATTTTCTCATTTGGTGTTTACTTTTAATAACAGAAAGTCCTTTCGAAGGCTTGCAGTGCAGAGCACCTCCAGTTTCTGTCAGCTGTTTTATATTTCCCATTCTTAGTTCAGTCATAAAGTTCTGGATCACCTCTCACCAGTTTAACTCATCCAAGTAAAGACTGTAACACCTCACCAAGCCAGATTGAGCTAAAGGGATATTTTCTGCTATGCAAAGCTAACTGACAATTAACTTTCAGTACAATTCAAATTTTCCCTACCATCCTGAAATGTCTCATCTGTCACTGTTGACTTACATTTTTTAATTATTGCTCATTAAGTGGTTAAGTATATTGTTGCCATTTTCTGACTTGTGAAGATAAACACACTCTGCATTAAGTGAATGTAAAAAAATCATCTTTCCATTGTACGGTACAATACTTGGGTGATCAATTGGCTTTTTTGGTTTTGGTAGTTGCTAACTTTTGCCACTAGATGGCAGTATTTGCCTGTTATTGTTTTAAGAGGTCCTACAAAATGAAATGCTTATTTTCTAAACCGGTGTTTTTGTAGATTTTCCCTTTTCTTAATTTGGAAAAATCAGAGAAAAAGAAAACCGCTTAAATACAGAGTGTTTGTTAAAATGTAATGTTCTTAGTATTGCTGATAATGCTTTATTGAATGCTTTTAAACACCAGTTTTCCACTTGGCATGCACCTTGCTTTTGCTCTAGTTCTTTATCACTGCCTGCATCCTATTCTGTTCTTTTTAGACCAATGGAAATTCAAAAGTGTTGATGTTGCTTATTTGTTATCTTCAAGATCTGAATTAGGTGATTTAAATCTTATTCTCCTTTAGGTGTCTTTGTATTTGCTCCCTGTCCTCAGAATGTGACAGTGACCTTCTCCTCTGGTGCTGCTGTGGAGGTCCGTCTCTACGAAGGAACTATGATAGCTACCGTGCTGCTCCCAGTAGAGTTTTCCAATCACACCCTGGGTCTCCTTGGCCAGATGAACTCTGATCCATCGGATGACTTAATGACCCAATCTGGAAAGGTCGTATCCTCAGCTAATTCCACGCCAGAGGAAATCTTTACATTTGGGGCTGGATGTGAGTATGAGGAACAGTTGAGCTTATGGCATCAAATCATCAAAGTTAAATATTCCTCAGTAACATTGAAACTTAACATTAACATAGTTACCAGCTGTTAAGACACTTAAGGGTTTAATTGCATTTTCAAAATAATGAAACTAGAAGCAATAAAAGAAAAAAAGATTTAAAAAAAAAAGATAAATCAAAAACTTTTTCTATGCTATTTTGCTTGGCTTTAACATGTGCCTATTGATTAAAGTTAGTTTATAGAATAAACTAACTTTATTCAATAAGCACATGTTAAATAAAGTTAGTTTTTTCTTGTTTTTCAGTGAGGTGTTGCTCAGGGCATCATATCTAAGCAACTGCTGTCTTGATTTACAAAACTGTCCTGTTAAATAAACTTTAATTTTGTATCAGGTATACCTAGAGAGGTTTTGTAGTGAGAACAATTGTAAGGGAAGTAAACAAATCTCCAAAGCTGGCTCTCACAGAATTGCAGCCCTTTTTCAGTGTGAGATTATACTAATAATACTCATCTTTTTAGGCCTGCTAATAAATGAAAAGAGCAAGTAATTAATCATTTAGATTGTGACTAGTTTCAGTTATACTGCCTTTACTTACTGAATGGTGTATTTAAACACAGTAATCCTTTATTCAAGTTATTATTATTACAGAAGCAACTTAAGGTCAGAAAAGAGATAGCCAGCAGGCATTCAGAAAAAAGGCTGAGATGTGTGGTGAGGGATGAAGAGGATCACAGGCTTCAGGCAGAAGGATGATCAGACAGATTGAAGATTGGACTAAGGCAATGAACTGAATACATTCCTCAACAGATTCAGTTCAGGAACAAGCTCAGCATCCTTCTTTGCTAACAGTCAAATTGACATCGACTCTCCTGCTTCTATAAGCTTGTTTTTGGCCAAATCAGAAGATGGTGCTGCTCCCTCCACCTTTCACTTGTTTGCCTCTAGAAGTGAAGTAAAGAGGAAACTGGAGAGACTGAATAATAAGTCACCAGTTCCTCATGGTGTCAGCCCCACAGTCCTGAAAGCCTGTGCAGAGCAGCTCTGTGGGATTCTACAGCACCTTATACACCTTAGTGTGTTTCATTGATGTGGAAGACATCCTGCCTTGTTCCAGTGCCAGAGAAGACTTGGCCAACAGTCCTATGTGACTACTGGCTTGTTGCCCTGACATCTCGAAGGTCCTAGAGAATTCTGTTGGTTCACCCCCTCAAACAACCAGCTATCAGGACCTCCTGCAGTTTGCTTATTGCGTGGAATTGGATTCAAGATGTCATCATACACCTGCTTTAACAAACCCACTGTCATTTAGACAAGGCAGATAGCATTGTGCAGATTCTGTTCTTTGATTTCTCCTGTGATTCTGACTTACTTTGTCAGAAACTCCAGAAAACTCAGGAGTCATCAATCGGCTGGATCAAGGACTACCTGACAAACAGACCAGTCTGTTAGACTGAAGGATCAGTTGTCAAATCAAGTAGTCAGCAGCACAGGAGCACCACAGGGGGCGGTACTCTCTCCATTCCTTTTACTTTATACACCTCCGACTTTTAGTACCAGTCCTGTCATCTGCAGAAATATCTGGTGAACTGCTTTGTGAAATGATGTGGAAAATATCATCTGGTCCTGAATATCAACAAAACTAGGGAGATGATGGTAGATATAAGAAGAAACAAGAACAAGTTAAAACCTCTACTTAAAAAAATTCAATAAGCGAATAAAGTGGGTCGGCTCTTTTGTAGGAACTCCTCTGGAATATCTTGATATGATTTCACACAGAAGAATTCTTCATAAAGTGAAGAAGATTAGACAACTGTAAGCATCTTGTTCAGGTGATTTTTAAACAACAAAGTGTCTTCAGTCAGAGGCTTCTCCAGATCTGGTGCAAATCAATACCAATACAAAAGATCCTTCCTGCCATCAGCTATCAACACCTACAACAACCCACTGAAAAAACGAACCCTGTATAAGTTACTGTAACATGTCAGTTTTTTTTTTTTTAAATTGTATTATGTCTTTATAGTGCATTTACAGAATTTCGATTTTAGTTTATAAGCTGCATCCTACTCATTTCCAAAACTATATTGTACAGGCATGGTATTTCTTAAATGCCAGACATAGTCTAAAATCATAACTTGTTTTCCAAAACATTTTCACTGATGTTAATCTCTTCCTCCAGGGAACATATCAAAGATGTCTTCCCTTTTCACCTATGACTCCCAGTACCTTTTGGATTCATACTTTTTTCCATCGAGCCACGACACTGCTTTTGTTCCAGCCTTTCCTCTGCCTCTGAAACCTGATGACCCCTTGGTAGCAGACATGTTGTTGATGTGTTTGGGAGAAGGGGCGCAGTTCTGTATACATGATACCCTTATCTCTGAGAGCCTGGCGGTGGGAAACGCCACACTACGGGCCCATCAACATCATCAGGATTTAATGGAAGCCCTGGAGCCAGGTACCACATGTCACAAGATCATTGTCTGTCTATCTTTGATTTCCTTTAGCTCACAGGCAAAAACTGGAGATAAACTTACACATTTTATTTCTGTCAACTTTATGGGTCACAGACGTGATTTATCTTAATCAGATATTGAATTGAATCTATAATCATGAATATTTGATAGCTTTCATTTGTCAGGTGAACACAGTCATTCCTGTTTTGTAAATTGGGAGCACCAGTTCTTTAAATATACCCTTCTTGTCCCTGACTTTCTGACATACTGCTGCTCTTTAGTGGTATCATGTGGCTGGCTTCCCACACCCAGGAACGGCAAGAAGAATGGAACAAATTACCTGCAGGGGGAAACCCTGGGCTTCACCTGCAATGAAGGATATATACTGTACAGGTCGACAGAGCGCACCTGTCTAGCGGAGGGGAAGTGGACAGGAAAGCAGCCGTACTGTATTACAGGTGAGTTACGAGGAGAGGGAGAGAAATGTGGGTAACTCACCACTTTTTAAATGCAAACTATTTTGTCAATGCAACAAACTTCATAAATACGTATCATTTTAATAACAAACCAGTTTGGAAACCACTAACACATCTAAACCATACTGAGAGACTAAAAGTTCACTGTTTATCTTTTTAGGTGTTTTGTTTGTGTGTCTGTCTGTCTGTCTGCCTTTGTACACGATAGCCTGAAAAAGTATGAACAGATTTTAATGACATTTTTACCAAAGGTTCACCACAGTCCAAGGAACAATCCTTTATATTTTGGTGGTGATCTAGATCAGTATTTCCCAACCTGGGGTACGCACACCCCTAGTGGTCTGTGAGTATATTCAATTCAATTTAATTCAGGTTATTTATATAGCGCCAATTCACAACATGTCATCTTATGGCACTTCACAGTTCAACAAATCATACAGTCAAATCGATTCAAAGTTTTCTATCTAAGGAAAACCAGTTGATTGCCTCGACTAATTGACTCAAAGGCAATCCCTCACAGTAAGCATGCTTGTAGCGACACTGGAGAGGAGTCAAACGACCCGCATTATAATCGCCTCGGCTCTTATCGGCATGCTGTGGGAAAACCAGAGCCTGGTTGACCCGCTAAATTAAGTGATGCTATTGAAAGCAATATATGGACGTCAACACACCAGTCACTTCTGATCTAAAAAGCCAAAAAAACTCGGTTTCGACACGGCGCAGAGCTGATAAGAGGGACTCTGACGGAAAAAAGAGCGAAATAATAAAGAATACTGACTACGCCCTGGCTCCCGTCCATGTTGCTTTTCATTATTTACTTGTCGAGTGTCGACATCATCATTGCTCGGTCACCCAGTGTCATGCCGTCATTAAACATGCAGTGGCAATGGCCACAAAGCTTGCTAGCAGGGGGTCAGACTCGGCTTTTAGGTCAAATGGAAAAAAAGCCAAAAGCCAAATTATTAGTGCGTCAACCCGGCTTTGAATCACCCAGGTTTTCAGTGGGAAAGCAGCTTTGGAAAATTAAATTGTATATGACAATTAATGTGCTCTGAGTAAGCAAACAACAACTGATATAAACTTTGGGGACAATTCAATTTCAACTCATTTAATAACTCTGGTGTTGATTCTTTTTATGTGTCTTTGAATACAATCTAATGCAAAAAAGAACTACCGGTACACATCTGCCTAAACTAACATTTTTAATTTAAGAGTCCTTATTACAAGTGAGCCACTTCTTTCTTTCAGAACTTTGAGATATATTTTTCCTATTAATTGTAGAATATTGTAATACTTTTGTTAAGTACAGAGTTTTCTTTCATGAACAAACGTTCTTCGGCAGAATTTCTGTTTACTTAAAGATGACCAAACCCATTTCCTACTCTCTACATACAGTATGCTTCTGAGATTTACTGAGCTTGTAGATGATCTTGGATGTACCAAAGAGCAAATCATAGCAGAAAATACTTTTTACTTGCTGCATCTTTACCTAAACTACACAACATCTTTTGTTTTCACATTAGAAACGTATCAATTCTTAACATTACTTATCGTAAAAGCAGCTATCTTTAATACTTTCTAATTTCTGTTCATTTCTGTACTGCTATTTCTGTAAAAAAAACAATTCTGATGCACAAAGCTGGAAACTGTACTTGTGCCAGATATCTTTGATTTCCTAAAACAGAAAAGACTGAAATACAGCCTTTCTTGCAGTACGTGTGGAGGGATGGCTGTGGCAGAGACAAGTTGAACAAATAGACTTGAATACATTTCGATGATGCCATATCATTTACATCAAAAGTACATCTTATGTTAGACATAACTGTTTTTTTCTGATATTTAAATCTTGAAATTATAGCATTTATGCTGTTTCAAGACTGTAAAACATCGCCTAACCAATGTTTTAAGTTAAATGTAATTCCTCTGTGCATGATGTTTATGATACTGAGAAAGCTTTGCTGAATCCTCATTCATTGGCCATCCAGTTTTAAATTTGCAATTTGTGAATTTTAAACTTCTACTGCAGATGCCTAAAACATCAGCTCAGTCCTTTCCCTGACCATGAGCTTAGTGAAGGAGGTGTGGTGTAGTTTCTCAATTTAACCAGCAGATGGCAATATTTACCTCAGATTTCTTTTTTCAATATGTGTTTTGCATCAGATGTTAATTTGTGTTTTTTTTTCTTACACTGTTGCTTTCCACTGGCTCACATATTAAAAACGTAAAACATATGAGATTAACTTTTTATGGTAATGTAACAAACAGCCCATCTTTATTGGACTCATTTTTCTAAATTCCGTGTTTATGAAGTGTTATTTCCCAATAGACATCTTAGTTCAAATGCAAGTACCTTTTCCAGGAACTATTTGCTTGAATGATTAATTCCCTGGGGAAGGATGGGTTTAATCAAGTTAACACAGAATGGCAGGACTTTTTATCTACAGTATGTGACAATGATTGCTCTCGCTCTATGGCTCCCTGTACACAAATCTGAGCTAACAACTGTCAACATGGCCTCAGGAGCTCGGTGGCAGGTGTTGCTGGAGCCATTTCCTTCTTCTTCATTGTTCAGATGTGACCTCCAGTCAAGTAAACAATGCTAAATACAGACTGAGCTGCAGCCGCCCTCCTCCCCTCATATGAATTACTGCGGCACGATGTGTAGAGTCAAAAGAAGTCGTAATTAAGTTGAGAAGGACGTGCCATTGAACAATAAATACCAACACTTCCAGTTTGACTCCCTCTCAGTCACTTTAATGAGCCGCTGCTGTCTGTCCAGAGGTCACAGTGAGTCCAAACAAGGTGTTTCATAAATTTACCTTTTACAAAAAAGGAGCACAGTTTCTATAGTTTAAAATGTATTTCCTATCAAACTAAATTAAAGTTTTTTTCTGAATCGTGTGTCCCCACATAGTGCACCTATGAAATTAGATTTTAAATTTGGTACATGTAATAGAATTATGCTCCAATTAGCATTTCACTTATAAAATTGCATTGCATTAACAACATAACCTGAAATCTGCTTCATCCAGGTTTTGTGAAGTTTGAATTTCAAAATAGGGTTGTGGATTTAACAAAGGCATAACTGATTCTGATTAAACCAGTAGGCAAACAAAATGCTTACTTCTATCGATGCAATATAGTGCGACGTTCTAGATGTGACCGGATATAACAAGGTTCAGGCTTGTTGTCTCTGTTGTATAAGCAAAGCATCTTGGACTTAAGCTGTACCTTCAACATAGTCGGGTACAGTGCAAGACGAACCAGGCTGCATACCCAACTGGGCTTGATCTGTGAGCTATGGCATTATATTTAAGGCCAAAGCAACGACAAAATTCTTGGTACCTGTTTTTTTTTTTTCAACCATGCTTCAACAGAATGATTAAAAAAAGTAAACTTATTAAAAAACATACCTGGGCAAAAGACTGAAAAATAATGTGACCAAAGGGACATGTTGTGCCCACTATTTAGCAACTCAAGTTTGCCAATATATATATATATAGGGCTACAGGTGTCACTGCTATGTTAGGTGACATGGTGTGCACTACACTCAGCATGGACCAGAGCAAGCAAAGGGAAGAGTTGTCTCGGGATATTAGAAAGAAAATTATAATCAGGCCTTGTTAAATTTAAAGGCTATGAGACCATCACCAAGCAGCTTGATGTTGCATATAATTGCATTTATTCTTCAGAAATGTAAGAACCACGCTTTAATTCCGTATGGCTGTAAGTGTGGGATTGTGTGAATATGAAGTTGTTTCTGTCTACTTGTCAGGTTGGGTGTTTGCCTTCCCTTTCCCACCTACTGAACATCCTAGGCCCAGGTATAAGCAGTGCTTGCCTCCTCCCCCTTACATTCCAAGATTACCTTGTGTTTATCTTAATTTATATTCCTGTAAATCTGTCTATAGCTTCTCTAAAGAAAAGCATCTACACACCACTATGTTTCATCTTAGGATGATGTTTTTAGGGTGGCATTCACACAAAGCCTCTTCCACCTAATGGCAAATTATTGCACTGGAAACCATATAAAGAAGCAAACTCCCCCCCCCCCCTCGATCTTTACCTAAAAATACATCTTTACAAAACAGTGCATAGTTTTTTATTCAGTTTTAAGTTGTGATTGATTACTCTACTTTTAGTTGGTATTTCATATCAAATCCCCGCAGTTGCACCTTTGCATGTCCAGTTATTATCAAAACTGAGCCCTTACAAAAACAGTTGAGTGCAAAACAACCCGAACCACACCCTCATGTGCACACAGACACACACACAGCAGGTACCGACTTCTTACCTTCCAGGGTAAATGTTCCAAATCCTTTATGCTTTAAGGAGATACAATTCTCCCAAAAGGATTCTCGGTTTACAGAGCTGTCACTCTCAAACAGAGCTCAGTTTAATGTTACAAGGGAAAGCTGGGATCAGTTCATGTTTCTTAAACCAGGACAACTCAGTCTTAAATGTGTTCTTTGAATGTGTTGGTGTGCAGCGATGAGCAAATTTGGGCTGTTGAATCTATATTGTCTGTCTAAAAGGGAAATTGTAAAGGTAAATTCTGAGTTTGCAATTACTTCATTTCATATTCTAAGTAACATTCATTGTACAACAACTTACGGTGATTAATTTATGCAAATCATCCTAGTTTGGAAGCTTGGCTCGACCTTTTTGGATGTAATTTTCCCTCCCCGTTTTGATTTTAGATACCTGCCAACAACATATTCCCCTCTGGTTTAATTTTTATCTACTGAGAGTTTTTCTTACAGTGGACATATAAAGAAAAATGATACTTGGCAGACATGCACAGATCGTTTTGTACTGGTACAAAAGGTTGAAAAACTAGGCCTCTGAATTTCCACTTATTATTCTCCTGCGTGATGGATTGGTGATCTTTGGGTTGACAAAGCTTTAAATGCCAAATAGGGAGAGCAACAGACTTTAAAGCAAGCCATATTTTTCTACTTCCTTTATTTTAATTTCAGTGAAAATAATGTCTCTGCCTCAGAAAGTTCACAGACTTTTACACCAAATGTATATATACTATCTTGATACTATTTAAATCTCCACAAATTCATTCTTTTGAAGAAGATTTATATGAATAATACACCTGACTTGATGTGATGGTTGAAAGGTTGTTCTACAAGAATTGTTCTTTAAATGGATGGTGTCTAATTTTGCCTGAAATTTCTTTCATTTCTTTTATTTAAACTATGTAAAATGCCCTGAGAATGAACCTTAAACCAAATACTGAGGCTAGGTGCAGTATCTTGCTTTGTGCTGTTTTCTTTTGTGTCTTGTTGGAGCTAGGTATGTTTGAAGTCTTTATGTAATACGCAGAGTATTGTTTGACTGACATTTCCTCTTACCCTGTTTTGAATTCCAAGGATAGTTGCATTAATGAAAATAAGTCATGCAGGGTGAGATACACCTGAGGTGACAGCAGTAGCTCTTGGCACAAACACACTCCTTCCTACCAGTGAGAGAAAAATCAACAGCTCTCAATTAAACTTCTCATCTCGTTCTGAAAAATGGCTTCTTTGTGATAAGTATGTTGCTTCAGGGTGCCTGGGAAAAACACAAATATATGCATTGTCTTTGAAATTACTCCCAAAGGTAAATGCTGGAAATGAATCTTTTTTTTTTTTTCAGTTTTATATAGTTGGGTGTGGAAAATGTAATCGTTAAATACATTCTTTTTTTCATTTTAACTCTAAGGTAGAAAAAACTTTCTGCATCTTTAGTCTGATGAAACCCACTCATCAAACACCCATCTGGTTTTGTTTCCAGCTTTACGGGTTAAATCCCATGATGCTTTTCAAACTTTTTTTAGTCTTGTGTTCCTCAGAGCTATGAACTTGTGCAACTGAGCCCATGCTGATCTGCTGCTGTGTTTTTTTTTCTGCCAGCTGTATTTTGGACCCTCTTTGAAAAAAAATATTTACTTTTTAGAATGCATGAATTTAGCTTTCATACTTAAATGTTATTTCAACGGTCCCCCTGGAAAACTATACCCATGCTCACTTCTACATAAGAATAATAGGAGGAAACAATGACCTAACAATAATGTTTTTGGACTGAGAGGAAGCCAGAATACCAAGTGAGAACCTCGAGTATGCTTGAGGGTAACATCCAAACTTTGCACAAAACCCTAGGTTTGCATTTTAATGAGTGGCCTTCTTGCTGCAAGGCAATGGTGTTACCAACTGTGTCTGCTGTTATATGAATGCCTATTTTTTGGATTTAAATACAGCTCATAACCTGAGGCCATATACAGTAAATAAATAAACTATGGTCAATGTAAATATAGTAATTAGAAGGCAAGGCAAGGCAAGACAAATTTATTTGTATAGCACAATTCAGTACAAAGACAACGCAAAGTGCTTTACATGATTAAAATACAGGAAGATAAAACAGAATCAAAGCAAGTAGAAAAAATAAAAAAAAAAATAAAAAATGCAGAAACAAAAAAAGAATATTAAAAGCAGTTGGATTAAAGAAAATATGTTTTAGTTGAACTGTTTAACTAGAACAGTCGAAGGCAATCCTAAACAAATGTGTTTTTAGTCTTGATTTCAAGGAACTCAGACTTTCTGCACTTTTACAGTTTTCTGGAAGTTTGTTCCAGATAAGTGGAGCATAGGAACTAAATGCTGCTTCTCCATGTTTAGTTCTGGTTCTAGGTATGCAGAGCAGGCTGGAGCCAGAAGACCTGAGTGGTCTGGAGGGTTGATACACTGATAGCAAGTCTGTGATGTATTTAGGTGCTAAGCCATTCAGGGATTTATAGACTAACAGAAGTATTTTAAAGTCTATTCTCTGAGATACAGGGAGCCAGTGTAAGGACTTTAGAACCGGGGTGATGTGCTCTACTTTCTTAGTCTTAGTGAGGACACGGGCAGCAGCGTTCTGGATCAGCTGCAGCTGTCTGATCCACTTTTTAGGCAGACCTGGGAAAACACCGTTGCAGTAATCAATTCGACTAAAAATAAACGCATGGATTAGTTTTTCCAGATCACGCTGAGACAGTAGTCCTTTAATCCTGGAAATCTTCAGAAATTTTTTTTTACAACTGAAGCAAATCAGTTACAAAATGTGAGCATTTGATTATTTATTTTTATCAAAATGTGCCTCTACTGTATTGAAAGAATGGCTTTGAACCTATCCGCTTAGCTGTTTCTCCTCTAGATGAAGCAGCTGAAGGAGCCTTTTATGCTAGATGCTAGTACTAGCCTAGCTATGAGGATCAATCTGCAGTGACCAGCTGGAGATTGCCGCTTACACCAGGCCTGGTGCTGCTGGAGTTTTCCTTTCCACTGTCACTACATGCATGATTGTTGTGAGGTATTAATACAAACTGGGTGCATTCCTCTTGCCAGAATGTGGTTGTGTAGTCACCTCAGCTTAGCCCAGGATTCTGTGTTTAACCAGATGTCCATGGTCCAAAACAACCTTGTCTGCAGTCAGATGGCCAGGTCCCAGACTGGTAAGCGTTTTTGCAGGGGTTTGTATGCAACAAATGCACAGTTTCAATTCCAAAAGATCAGTTTATTACATCAATTTAGAACAAGACGCATAAGTGAGTGTTATTGAATTCCATATGTGAGTTTTCTGAACGCTGCATATAAAGAATAGTGCAGGTTTGGTTGTCTTGAAGGTCAGCTAAAATATTTTCTTTGGTTCTTTATGTTATTATTTATTGGATTGAAATGGAGTATTGACTTGAGACTGGAAATGTACAGTCTTCAACCTGAATAGCTTTCTATAACTGTATATTATGATCAATGATGGTTCGCTCTGAGGGCTAATGATGTGTGTTTTCAGCAGAAGGGAACTGATGGTTGACATCATGTCAGTTCTCCACATATGGAAAGCCCAAAATTATTGGTGCATTTAATATCTACCAGGTAGATCAAAGTTAAACCTGGGTCTTGGTATAATTTCTCTTTAGAAACCTGGATACTTTCAATGCTTCTGGGGATTGTTTATTATGACTTTGTGTACTTTTATACATTTCAGAATGTTGTCTGTGTCTTCCATATTCCCCACTTAACATTTTGTGAATTTATTCATTGTGTGACACTAATCTTCTTCTAATTATCTCAAATCAGTCTCAATAATAAAACCAAAGAGTGATGAAAAGGACAAATTGAAATGTTTCGGTAAAACCCAATGTAAGGGTGAAAACATGGGCACATGGATGTTCAAATCAAGGCCACTTAACAAGATTTCAGTGCTTCCATGCAGGCAGAACATGCTGAAATCAGCAAAGTCCCACAGGGAAGTCAGCAGGGCAGTAGGAGTGGATATCTGATGCCAGTTGTAATAAGATTAGTTGGAAGAGTCTCTAAATCCTTCAACCTCTTTAGAAATCTTTTTGAAGAATGTACAACATGCTTCTCTGCTTCTCTTCTTAGTTGTGTTGGCGTTGCTTGGTGATAACAGATACACCTGCCTCTCCTTTGTATTGCTCTTTTTTACCCTTATGGAAGCTCGTGTAATTGTCTTTGGTTCCTTTAAAAATGTCAGATTTCTTAAAATCATTTGCAAAACAACAATTGTATATAAAGTTATCAACAATTTGGGAAAGATTTGCTAATCTTGCAATTGCTGCAATCGATCTAAAATTGAATTTATTTAGCAGATTAAAAAATAGTCAATTTTTAATAGATTTATTTTTAACCATTCCTCGAATGTTTCAGTAAGAATCAACCTATTTAGATTTCCCTGTAACCAGAGTAAAATAACTTAGTGCTTTAGTTAATGCTTCGATTCACTGAAGAAGCTGAAATGATAAAAATCAGCAATGACTGATTTTTTTCAAATTTTTTCAGGTTATTCTTGGTAGTTAAGCTCCTTTTTTAATTATATGGTTTGCAAAATCTGAACTCAGTAAATAAAAACAGATGGATTTGTTTTGTTGTTTTCTCTATAATGCAGGATAACAACTTAAAGCTGGTTTAAACAGCACAGTTGTGCAACAACGTTATGGAGGGCTGACAAACAGTTTTAGAGAAGGTTAATCATCAGTTCGGTGGAATCATTTGCTTCTTGGCAACTTTTTAAAGTTTATAAAAAAGTTTGACATCTGCGCCAACTAACTGGTCTGGGCAGACTTGCAGTTGTTTGACAGATGGACTGTTTGGTGTAATTATTAGCTTAATTCCTGAGGTGTACTGAGTAATCAGTCAGTCAGTGACAAGGTTTACAGTGTCAGAACTATTAGATCTTTTTTTTTTTTTTTTAAATAACTACATTCTTGAAAAAGTAAGGTGTGTTGAGGAAAGCCACAGCAGCTTTCACAACTTTTGTCTTTCAACACAAACAAATGAGTAAAGCTTTAGAATAACCTTCTTTTGTTAAAAAAATGGAAAATAAAATGAACTTTTCTTCACCCTTAGCATGGCTACATCTGCAATCAGAAAATAAAAAAAAGATTTCACTTTTGGTTATCTCTTTAAAAGCAAAACTAGGGCTGTCACTGACTTTAGGCAGCACTTTGAATTGATCTCTCATCATATAATGATTAACTTCTGCTAGAATAAATAATTACTTTAAGTGATGAATTTTACCCTGAGGCGATTACATATCATCTCCTTCCTTTCAACTCTTCCTGTTAGCCCTTTACCATGTTGCTTATATTGTGAGGGTCTACGGAATATTTTGCCGTAATGCATGGCTGATAAAAGGTTATTTCTATTATACATTTTGTGTTTTTTGCAGATGACAAACTGGGGTTTATACTTGGGGCTTGTGGATGCCTCTCAGCAGTAGTCACCATGACAATAACAATAAAACTACACAACAGAAAACACACCAGGTGAGTTGCAAACCCTTTTTTTTGTCTTTCAGACATTACATCCCTTTGTACGGGTTTGTTCTATAATGGAATGTAAATCATGAATAAAAAAAATGAAATATTTGTCATAGTGGGGAACATTTGACAGATTGCTCTTTAAGGGATTAATAAAGCCCCCTAACCCGACATGGATACATTATTGTTTGATTTGTACATTTCTGCATTTATTCTCATTGATTAAAATTTTATCTAAAGCTGCGCTAAAGACAGCTAAAGATTTCTAGCTGTTGTAGATAAGTTCTTATTTTTATGGAAGAATTGTGCAGTTATTCTGTTTTTACAGCTAGTGCATTAGTTTTTAAACAGAATTAATAAAATATTTCCCTGAACAAAGGGCCCCTGAGTTAAAAACACCACTATAGAAAGCTCCAGTTGAGCTAATAAGAAAAAGGGACATCATAAAAAGTAGAAAAATCCTCGTGATCAAGAACAAACACAAAACAGAATCAGGAACATCTATGAGAAAATATTGTTGTGACTGAAAGTAAATGTCATTATCAGTCTTACTTGTTAGTTCTGTTTAGGATTTCCTGGTCAGTTTATTCTTGAACAAATTTAATCCTGATTAAATTTAAAGAAACGTACTTTAGTCATTCATTTGTCATAAAAAAATGCTTGATAAATAAAAAAAGAATTGCTTCAGCTTTTCAATTATTTAATTTTAAATTCATAGGACCAAACGCTTTATGAAAATTATTTTAATGTAAACATATGTAGGAACTATTGCATTTAGTTTATCTTAACTTTTTTCAATATTACTGTTTTTAAGATTTTTTTTCTTTTGTTACAATGGGGACAGATATGCCAAATTACTAAGCAGAAACCATCTAGGTTTCTCTTCAAGTTATAGGTGTATTTCTGCTCAGTACTTGAACGAACATCAGTGCTTAGTTTAACAAGTCTAACGAGCAGTGAAGTCACAAAGCACAGCATCTTTTAACTACAGCCTGCCATACTGTATATCTTTCATTCTGCTCTATATGTTCAAAGCCAGAGCAGCTTGTTATCTTATGAGACCTGGTGCATAGTGAGACGTCTTCCTCCCCTCCCATTTCGCTTCAAGACACCTTTTTGCTGTGCAAGCAGAGAGGTACAAAGACAATGAATCCCACCTGTGCATTTCATATCCAGCAGGTCGGGCCTCCTAAATGTTGCTCATAAATTCTCCTTCTGATCTGATCAAACCAGATACCCTGTGGGATTATACTCATGACTGCAGTCCAGAGGAACAAGGGGCCAACAGTAGCGGTAGCTCCTGGGCAAATACAAACAAATTAAAGACCTGGTTTATGGGCTCACTGACTTCATTTGGGCTTCCCCTCTTTATGACTCTGATGAAGAAGACAGATGAATGTTTTAAGTTATGAGGTCTCCCAACACTGTCAGCAGCTCTTGAAGCAAGGACACAGTTGAATCGGCTTTGTTTTAGGTTCATAGGGGTGAAAAAGCAAGCCCACCTGCCTGCTCTTGATCCCCAGATCAGAGGAGGCCAGGTGTAAGGAGAGAAGCGTCTGGAACCGTGCAGATGCACAGGCTTGTATTAGAGACCTAAGACACTCTTAGTGAAAATCACTATACCTACAGTTGTCAAAATGTGACCAGAGACATCTGATACGTTCTCTGAGTGAGTGGTTAGCTGCAATGCCTGAACTCTTCAAACAAGTGCAGACAGATTGACTACTCTGCAACATCAGAAACAGAACAGGATGTAAGAAGCAGGGGGTCTTACTGTATTTCAGCTCTTGTCTGGGTTTTGTGTTTGGTGGAAAACTGCACTGATAATACACTGCTATGTGTGTGCATGTTCCGGTAGATGGTAAAGGCCTCCCATGCACATGCTCCTTGTGTGTCAGACTTCCAGGGGTACTTTCCACAGCTAGGGTTACTTTGCAGGTTTAAACAGGCCAAATGGCTGCTCACCACAGGCAGATAAAGTCACTGCACCATGAAGTGATACTTTGTTTTTGTGTGCAGGTCTTCCATCATGTCTCCTCCCATTTAGCTTAATGACACATCAAAAGGTTGATTTGGGGGGCTTTGTGTGTTTGTGGAAAAAGGTTCAAAATGAATCGAAAGAGTGAGGACAGGAGCAGATCTGGAGTGAGTCTGACTCACTCCCATTTAATCCATGTATTAGTGCAAAGCTCAAGGAGCTACTTGCCAACCTTTCAACATGCATTAGTTTAATTGTTTTTGATCTCTGAGTAAGGAGCTGTTTTCTTGAAATTTAAATATCTGTCGAGTGGTTTCAAACAGTGATGGCAAAAAGCATCATCTGGCTAGCCAGTGTTTATGAGTTAGATTGGATTTCTTTTGAGGCTTCTTCAGTGACAGGAAATGTGTAGACATGTGTTTCACAGGAATTTAATGATATAACTTTTAGGCTATTTGGATGCCAAAAACATTTAAATTGCCTAACATCGTTAAAGTACATTGGACTGTGTTTCCATCTTTGTTTTGATTTACTTTACTTGATGTAACATACATTATATTCGGTGTAACTCAAGTGAAAACAAATCAGTCATGAGACAAAATGGTAAAAGGCTGTTTACATAAGTTTAAAAACAACCTTTTGAGGTTTACATCCATGCATCCATCCATCCATCTATTCATCCATCCATCCATCCATCCATCATCCATCCATCTATTCATCCATCCATCCATCCATCCATCATCCATCCATCTATTCATCCATCCATCCATCC